TGCTGGTGTAGTGCTTGTAGTGTAGACGTACTCTCTGACAGGCCTTAAGATCCTCTGTAAACGAAGTGAAGTGCATGTTATTAGGAGAGTACTCAGTGGCTTACCACGACTTGAGGAAGATGTAATGGCTGACAGATTTAGGGGTGACAGTGAGCATCAAATTAGATATGAGCTTGAAATGTGCTAGGGCTGCCAAAGAAAAGCCAATGCAAAATTTGAGACTGTACTGCAGAGCCAGCATGTCACTAGAGAAAGGTATGTGATAGTTCCCCCCATGTGACTCTGTAGCTGGGATGTTATGTTCAGTTCTGGGACATAGGTGACTGACTGGAAGTGGGGGTCTGAGGAGAACGGCGATAATCAAATGGTCCGGGGTAACTGGATTTGGAGGGAAAGGTCGGGTCCGTGTAGTTTGGCAAAGCAACCACTAACTAAGGGGTGTCACATCCATAAATAATGGGCAGGTGTACGCATTTAAAAAGTGAGGGGAATTTAACGTGATACACGGGCAATGGGTAGGACTGATAAAAAGAAGGGGGAAATAAAGGATAAATTGCAGGGGAAACTTGCTGGCAATGAAACCCGTTACTGCAGAAATTGGGATTCTAGAAACTGGACTGGATGCTAGAGATGTTCTCTAGGGAACAATTCTGCATTGTTTTCCCCGGGCAGATAGGAATGGCTGTGAGCTGTGTGTGTTAGAGACAGTGGAGTGGCCAGATGCTGCACGTGGCTAAACCATGCGCGCGTTGGTGCGGAGGGGGGTTTAAAATGCAGTCCCATCTGGAGGAGATGGGGTTAGCTGGAAGCTAGCACAGCTAGTGGCTTTAATCCTGTGCCCTATGGGGGAGCTCTGTTTGCCTCTGCAGCTTGTCCTAGCTGTGCATCCGATTGTGCTGCAGGCTGGCTTCTCAACTGAAGCAGCAGCTGCCAGAGGAGAGGGGGAGGGCTGGGGGAGGGCATACAAGAGCAAATGACAAGGTTCTTGTGACTCAAAGCACATCGTTTTTTCTCATCTGGGCCACTAGATTCCCAAGGTCTCCAGAGCAGGGAGCTGCAATAGATAATGATTTCTTAATCAGCACAAATAAGGGCGGGGGGGGGGGGGGGGAGAAGAGAAGCTGGCAGGCTGGCTATCCATAGGAGAGAGGAGGTGGCTGATGTCAAGAATATGATTCTTAATACACCTCTACCCGGATATAATGCAACCCGATATAACACGAATTCGGATATAACACAGTAAAGCAGCGCTCCGGGGCGGCGTGCCCCGGCGGATCAAAGCAAGTTCGATATAACGCGGTTTCACCTATAACACGGTAAGATTTTTTTGGCTCCCGAGGACAGCGTTATATCGAGGTAGAGGTGTAATAAAATAGGAAACTGAAAACTCCAGAAGAGGCTGTTAAATTATGCCTCCTAAAATTCTTTGCCTGTAAGAAGTGAGAATGCAGCGCATTGTGCCAGCTAAATCTAACGTTCAAAGACAATATGTTCTGGTTCTAGGAACCTGGATTTCATACTGGCATGTGACACAGTAATACTGTTGTGTGCAGCTCTTCTCTTACAAAATGTATCCTCAAAAAACAGTTTAGAGAAATAGCAGAACAGGGAAGAGACACTGAGATAGACAAGAGAAATGTTTTTTTGCTGAGTGTGTGTACACACTTACCTATACAAAACTTTTATTTTTAAGAGAGACAGTTGAAGTGGGACTTAAAAAAACAAAAAACAAAAACAAAAAACCCCAAGGAATCTAGGCGGGCAAGCCCTGTTAAGTCATTGAGATTTGTGTTTCTGAATCTTAGGTGACTTTAAAAATCTATCCCCTGAAAACCCTTCAGGACATTTTTAGCAACTAAAATTCCCTAGAGATGGTTTTTAGTGCGCATCATAAATTAGATGCTTTCAACTCATGTTAAACAAGTCATTTGTACATAACATCAGATGCCATTGTGCTAAATGCTAATTGGCATTCGGTGGCTACAGTAGCTTCCCAAAATTATCACTACTTATAAAATACATATTGCTCAGATTTAACTTCTCTGCTTGCCATTAGTCAAATGCTTAAAACTCGCATCTGTAAATAAAACATGGAAGCTGATCCAGACTCACTCGTGCTGCTGGTTTGAAACCTCAGTCTAAATTTTGCTGCTCTTTGTAGAGCATTGTAGCAGTCTCCTTTAATGACATAACTAGCAATGCTAATTTCCTTATTGGATGTTGGACATTGCTATCTTCAATGTCCGTTCTATCTGTCAGTATCGTGTGAGTGCTTCTTTAATGACTTCGTTATTCTCCTTACAGGGACTCTGTGAAATAGGGAAAGATTGTTATCCCTGTTTGACAGGTGTGAAGCGGAGGCCCAGGTAGATGATCACCCAATAATTCTGTTTCACGTGGAATGGAGCCCAGGTCTCCAGAGTTAGTCCAGTGCCTTAACCGCAAGGCCACCCTTCCTCTCTAAACTGGATCAATTTCTCTGTCAAGGTCTTCACGCTCTGGTACTAGTTGGAGGCTCCAACATAAAAGAGGGGATGGAGGGTAAAACCTTGTGCATTGAAATATTTAATGGGAATATTCTGTGTCTAGCACTGATCTAAAACACTGGAATTCCTTGTGGTACATTTGATACGGCTGAAACTTTCAGCAGCTTTGCACTGACTTCCATAGCTGCTTTTCAGCTCAAAGGATCCCAAAGCACCTTACAAACTGTACATGCAGCACTGCTGCAAGGCAGACACCTGTGCATAGCATCGGTGAATAACTTGACGAAGGAGACCAGGACACACAATGCACCGTTGCCACCATCCACACTGCACCAGGTGGCCTGAGTTCTTAAGGACCCACTTAAAGAACTGGACAAACTGCATAGAGACTCTTTATCCAGCTAGGCAGCATAGAGGGCCCAACTGCCTGCTGGGATTGAAACGCTTGATTTCAGGAGAGCAAACATGAGCTAGGCTCACTGCACACCTTTGCAGTGGTAGTGGACTGCCTTGGCGTTTTCCAAGTAGTGAACTCCTCAGATATTGTGGAAAACCTCGTTTCCAGGTTAGTAGCGTTAGCTAAGTTGGTAATTAGCTAGTTAGTTGCTTTTGCTAGGAACTGTGGGCCAGATTCTCCACTGTCCTGCACCCTGCCACTTAACACCAGTGTTAAGCGAGTGTAATACACTCCCGTTCTGGTGTAATACCAGTGTAGTACACTCACCATTTCTTTGGTGTAAATGACCACACAGGGCAATGGGGAATTGGGCTGCCTGTGTTCAGTTAATGAATTCCGTGGTAACCATATAGCCTTTAGCTTTGGCCCCTTTTTGGAAACGGACTCAGGATTGAGGGATAACTTTGTCCCTCAAGCTGATCCAAACTACTGGGAACTCTTGCTGGCTCTGACCAGCACTTTGGCAAGGTCTCTGTCTGCCATATGCAAGCAATTTTCAAATGAATGAAACTCCGGTCTTTGGGGGAGACATGGGAATGCTTGCTTGTAATGTAAAAGCAGAGTGTTTATTGCAGACAAAAGCAGGCTGGTCAAAGCCAGCTGACAATCTGCATCCCAGGATATAAATTGTAAGATAAAGTTGAAATACTTCTGCAGAATACTTGTTCTAGCCACACATTTGGGTAGAGAGGAGCTGGGGTATGGGGTAACGAGGTCCTATTCCTGGCTCAGCCCCGTCTCACTGTGATGTTAGACCAAACTTTACCTCTGTTTCCGCCACCTTTAAAATGGGTGACACTTGTGTAGCATACAGGAATTTTGAGTACATGAGACTCTCTAATGAGAAGGACAATAGAAACATGCCTTTATTTCTCTTTGTTTGCTAGATGCACCAGCAAACAGCTCCCTGCTACCAGCATCGCGGTCTCTTGCTACCTCTAATTTGGTACCATAAACTTCAATCTTCCAATTTAAAAAAAAAAAACAAAAAAACTCACTGACATGATGCAGCTTGGATTGTCAGTTGCCTCATGTCCAGGGTGTTTAATCAGAATCAATAACTTCAATAGGTGGACGTGTTCATTAGCAAAACTAACGGCAGCTTGGGGGACTGTGCCTGCTTGCTGCAATGCCTGAATTTGGAACGATTTATCTTATCTTAGCAGGCTAACTCTGCCCCAGCTTCGTAACTTCCCCTCTGAGGTTAACGGGCAGACTGAAAGACGCTTCTTGATCTTGGCTGGCATCATGGCTGCCTCGGCAGTTGGCAGCTGAACCCCTCCGCACTTGGGAATGTGCTATTTCTAGGATCCATGCAGCTGGTTTAAGATCTATGGTTGTTCATCAGTGGCTTTTATGGCTGTCCCACACTAACATCTGTTTTGCTCGATTAGCAGCAGAGAACAGATATGGGAGGAGGGCTTAGCTGATGGGAGCTGATGGCTTCATTCAGGACACACGGTTTTTCCTTTCCTCCCCCACTGGTTGAGCCCTCTGAATCTTACACCAAGTAAAATGGGGTCAAAACGACACTGCTTCCATGGGGTATCAGCCTCACTTGCTCTCAGCTCTTATGGTCTTTGGAGAACAGACTGAAAGTGAGTAGGAGTTGGCAAGGTGGCCCATTGAGCACATGTGGTACTCGGCAAAGCTTTCAGGTGGGCTCTGGAGTGGCTCCAGGGCTTGTGTTTCTCATTGACCCTCTAGCTAGAGGGTTCTGGAGTTTTTTGGGCTTTTAGTGACTGGTCCCTGAGAAGCCTTCCTGTCCTTGGCAGGAGTCTAGCATTCATGGCTTTAGGAATGAGTTGGTGGAGTATGGAGGCAGGAAGGCTTGAGGGGTAACTCTCCTGAATTGGCACCCTGGAGAGGTAGGGGCTCCTTTAGCCAACATTCTAGCCAGTGTCCATGGAGAAGCCGTTCTTTGTAGGGCAAGGGACCTTCTGCTACCAAGAGGGGAAAACGTTCCCGGGACCAGAGATTCCAGTGATGTGAGCGGAGGACTGGGGCTTTCCAGCGCGGTGAGTTTATGTGGTACCTGGTTTGTTTGTTTACAGGGGCTCCTCCAGGATAGAAGAAGCATGCGATATCTATGCCCGAGCAGCAAACATGTTCAAAATGGCCAAGAACTGGAGTGGTACGTATGCCTGCTCTGACGCTGCTGTCTCTGTTAACCATGCCATGCTGGGTGGGCTTGGGGAGGGGTAGGGTCACCTTGCAGGACCGAGCAGTAACTCTGGCTCTGAGTTTGTGCCACTTGCTAGCCTGTGGCAGCATGGGTAGCAGAGTCCATAATTTGGATATGGTGCTGGGGGGGGACCATGCTGCACCAGTGGCTTGATCTCTGGGAGATCTGGGTACTCGATGCTGCTAAAGTCAGTGGGTTCTGCAAGGAATCCGCAACTCTGAAAATCAGGCCCGTGGCTTGCTAGGTGTTCACACAGCATGAGAATGAGCTCCATGGCTTCTTCCGTGGGGAGGAGCTCTCTAAGCAGCACCTTGCTGATTGCCTCCCCTCCGGTTTTCCCTGTGAACTGGGTCCGGGCTAGGAAACGTGCAGTAAGAGGCAGCTGCTGCTACTAAACTGATTCCCCGGAGCTTGAGTATGAAGTGGCTAAGCACTGCAGCACGGCCCCTCTGTGCGGGCAAAGACCATTGTGCAATGCCACCTTCATGTTGGCTTCCTTAGCTCGCTCTCTGGCACGCTTCAAAAAAAGGAAGCTGTGCCTGTGAAATGACCCTCATAGGCATCTTGGGAATGGCTGGGGTTCTGCTCCTCACCCTCCCGGTTTCTCCTCCAGCTGCGGGGAACGCCTTCTGCCAGGCAGCACAGCTCCACCTGCAGCTGCAGAGCAAGCACGACGCGGCCACCAACTTCGTGGACGCCGGCAATGCCTTCAAGAAAGCTGACCCGCAAGGTAAGGCGCCAGCACTGCTGCTTGCCTCTTCTGCTTTCCAGGTGCTGAGGAATAGGTTCTGCTGTGGTTCCGGTGGAAGAGCTGGGCATCGGCACACCTGGGTTCTATTCCTGGCTCGGGGAGAGGGATGAGAGGCACGGGGGCTGGGAATCCGGACTCCTCCTGGGTTCTTTTTGAAGCTCTGCTACAGACTGGCAGGCTGTGAGTCTGCTGGTTCTGAGTAACTCCACCTGTGTCTGTTTTTGTACAATGGTGAGGATTCACTAACCCCATAAAATGCACCGATCAACTGGGACTATGTAAAATGCATGTTTAGCTGGATTCACGTACTGTACTTGCACACCATCTTCCAGCCGTAGGTATGTCATGGTCAATAGATCCCTATGAAGAGGGGTAAAGAAAGACTTCAGACCCCTTGTGGAAACTTTCTTTTTCTGATTTGCAACCTTAATCACCAAAAGTTGATCAATGCACTTGCCTGGGTGAAAGTAAATAAGGAAGTGTTCTTTACTCCTTCTCATAACACACGAACTAGGGGTTACCCAGTGAAATTAATAGGCAGCAGGTTTAAAACAAGCAGAAGGAAGCATTTCTTCACCCAGCACACAGTCAACCTGTGGAACTCCTTGCCAAAGGATGTTGTGAAGGCCAAGACTATAACAGGGTTCAAAAAAGAACTAGATAAATTCATGGAGGATAGGTCCATCCATGGCTATTAACCAGGATGGGCAGGGATGGTGTCCCTAGCCTCTGTTTGCCAGAAGCTGGGAATAGGCAACAGGGGATGGATCACTTGATTCCCTGTTCTGTTCATTCCCTCTGGGGCACCTGGCATTGGCCACTGTCGGAAGACAGGATACTGGGCTAGACGGACCTTTGCTCTGACCCAGCATGGATGTTCTTATGTGGCTTGCAGCCTGAGGGAGTAAACCCCACTGGCCAGCGTGCCCGTCAAATTACACGTTGAGATTCCTAGTTCAGTGGAAATCCTTGTGCAACCTGAAGAGCCTGTCTGCCGTGTTGTGCTGCTGTTCTAAGAGAACCACCCTGGGGCGGGGGGGGGGGTGAGAGAATATATTGCATCACGGTGGGATAAACCTATTACTAGAATATTGCAACAGCTTCCAGGTATACTACTCCCGCTGCCCTGACTGAGTGCTTGGGGGGGGCTTTCTCTGAAGCGGCAGATGTGACTGTTAACTGGTCAGCTGGAATTTTGTGCTGGAGTGAATGTTCTGCAGTGCTGACTGCTGCAATTTCCACTCTCTCTGGTGTGGATTAGCTGGTTAGGATGCAGCAGGCATGCCACCCTGCTTAGGAAGGGACCTCGATAAAATCTGACCTACCATCTGGGAGCGTTCCTCCTTTCACAGATGGCAAAGTCGCACTGGTGGTGACCCTAACCAGCGAAAAGACAGGAAGCTTAGGACTCAATTCTGCATGGAACTGCTTGTGGCTGGTTAACCTTCTCAGAAGAGCTAATAGCAAGAAGTACAGCTGAAAAGGAGGTAGCTTGGGCAGCCTATAGAGATGCGCTGTGTGGGGCCATGCAGAAAAGAGTAAAGTCTCCTAATTAAGCTTCTAAGAGACTGCTCTGTACAAAGGCTCCCTGTGCAGCAGAGAACTGAAGGAGTTCTTAGAACTAACTACTCTTGAAATCTTTCTGCTGTCGAAGGGCATATATCCTGCAGGCAGTTCTGTGGGAGCAGACCCCTGTGGACTCCTCATGACACCAGTGGGGCTCTCTGCAGGCCTCTCCAGAGCAGTTTGCAGTGTGTGCTGCCGGTGTCCCGGCACAAGAGGGATTCTACTTGGCGTTGCATGCTTTGAGGGTGATCACTTACGCCATGCTTATCTGAGCTGGGGTTTTGCACATGCAGTTAGATCCGCTTGGGTGGTGATTCTGGAGAAAAGATAATGAAGTAACCTGAGGAGACCACAAATGTAATCCTCTAGGGGATTTGCCTAATCTTTCCGAGATTTATGTTCTGATTATCCAGCCACATTGCTCTCGGCGGAGCAGCCAGTGTTTGTTCTCCGGAGTAAGTTTTGCGAGGCGGGGAGATGGTATCTGGGCATGGTGGGCAGAGGGATTTGAGCCAGTCGCAGTGGGGCTTGTGGTATTTTTCCTCTCTTCAGTGGGATTATTTTTTGCCTCTCTGCTAAATCCCATTACTCAGGCAGAGCTCCCTTAAGAAGACAAGAGCTCTGTTTGTCTAAAGATATCCTACACCAGGCAAAGGGACAATGTTGTGCCTGTAACTAGTGTAGCAATTCCTGGGACCGCAGTTCCTTGCCCACCGGTGGGAACACAAGAGCAGGAGCATTCCCAGCCTGTAGCAGGACATCGAGGTTAGCATCGTGGCATTTTTGCTGTGAGCCGACGGGACAGGCAGAGCAAGTCTGGCCTGCCTTTAGGAGGGAGAGATCCTGGTTATGTGGCTCTGGTGCCGTTATGTTCTCTTTCCAAAGAACCTGGCTGTAAACCCTGGGCGTTGGAGGTTTCAATAACTGGACATGCAGGCAACCCCAATGAAAGGAAAAAATCCCCAAATCTACCAGCCCAAGTTCTCCTCTTAATCCCTGGCTCTGTGAGACAGCACTGGGGGCCTGGCTGGACGTAGCTCGGGGAAGAAACAAGGGCAGCTGCTATTTCTTCCTGGTGATACGCTCTCCAAGTTATGGAGAGGGGAAGAGAGCCCTTTCATCAATGTACAGGACCGAAATGAGTGTCTGGCAGGCTTCAGTGGTCTTGGGCACTGACGCCAGGTGCCAGAGCTCACAGCACTGAGGAAATATTTTCATAACTTGAAGGCCAGAAGGGACCATTATGACATGCCCAGACTAACCCAGGCCAGAGAGGCTCACCCAGGGATTCCCATGTCCAGGCCAAGTGGGACTTTTAGTTCTCCCTTTTAAAAGCTTGCAGATGGAACCTGACCTGATTTATTGGTAAATACCCCCATCCCTGTCTCGCGTTACTCCTAGTCTCTGTTCCTTTCCCCCCCAGCCTGCATTAGCTTTCCAGGCCCCTTGGACTAAAGGCAGTCTAAGATTCAGCAGGTGCATCACCTATTGGTTTAGAGGCAACTGCACCTGCTTAGCCTAGGGCTGATCTTTGGCCATTCCGCTTCCTGCTAGGGAGCAATGCAAGTGACGTTTGGGAACAGTAAGAAAAATTTGCCTGTCAGAGCTTGGCATTTGTGCCGAAAAACACCCTCCCACGTCTTTCTGGAGAATGCTGGTGAGAGAAACTCCTCTTGCAATAGAGCAAAATGTAGTAGTGAAGGGAGCCATCTTGGGTTGCTCACAGCGCTGCGAGGTATTTACCCAGAGCAGGCTGGTGGCCTTGTCTTTGGAAGCCAAGTTCATATGAGCTCCTGGCAGGTCTTTTTGGCTGGAAGATCCTGTCTGAAGAGCAGGGAATTTGCATGTGACTGTCCTTAACCCTGAACAAAGCTCATTGTTTGGGGCGAATAAACTAGTAGCTTGCGCACATCTTTCAGCTCAGTCTTTTCATGGTTGTAGAGAGGCAGCATGGTCTGGAGGAGAGGGCCCCGCACTGAATGTCCAGCCGTGTCGGCTCTGCTCCTGGCTCTGCCGCTGACCTGCTGTGGGATCTTTTGGCCAGTCACTTCCCCCTCCCACCTGCCCTTTCGTTGTGTCTTGTCCCTTTAGACTGAGCCCTTCAGGGCAGGGACTGTCTCTCATGAAGTGTCTGAGCCCAAAGGGCCTGGAAGTGCTACAGTGTTGTAAATGTTACGGGTACAATGCACAAAAGCTCCTAAAGCTTAAGCTGTTGGCTTCCTCGCAGGCAGCGTCTGGTCGGTGACCACAATACCGCAGGATTCTGGTGTGCTTAGTAATATCTACCGTCCTAGCCAAGTCAGTGGCAGTTTCCTGGTCACCTCACTCCAGCCTCGTGCTCTGGTCCCTGAGGCTTTCTCTTGCTGGAGTGGTCTGGACAACAGCTGCATGAGACACTGGGGCGCAGGGTGTGAAGTAACACCACTACAGATAAAATCTTCATCAATTCATTCGCTCCTGTGCAGGCCCCTTCTACCTATGGTACCACCTCTCGCCTGCTCTCAGTTCCCTGGAGGTTTGCAGCCTCAGCAGCTTTCCTTAAGTGGCTATTGATCTCTGTGGAGGGGTTGTGCTAGAAACAACACCTGGTTGTCCTCCTTTTCAGGCAGGTCAGAAGAGTTACTGAATGGCTTCACTTCTCTACGCTCCTGTGCTTAAAAAAAGTTTTTTGTTTTTGTTTTTTTTTAAACAGAGGCCATTAACTGTTTGATCAGAGCTATCGAGATCTACACAGACATGGTAAGTCTGTCCCGCCATGTCTGCGGACCAAAACTTTCTCTTTGCTTCTGGGCTGCTGCAGAAGGGAGGGTGATCCAGTAGCTGGCGCTCTTCCCTGGGCTCCCAGCCCTGTAGCGCTGTGCTGCTGGAAGTGCTGTCAGCCGGATCAGACGTCCGATCAAGACCCTGACTACTCGTGATCCCTAAAGGTACCATGAAACTGCTTGGAAGAGGCGGTGATTCAGCCACCGTGTTCTTGGCCCAGTTGAGGCAGGGTGCCTCTGGCTAACAGCCTAGCACTTGGGTACAGCAGTGAATGGGTATTCTAGAGATAATTCAGCCCGTGTCCTAACCAGTGTGTGGATTGAACTGAGCAGGCTGGCCTGCTGCAGTTGTGCCAGCTGAATGAAGCCAGTACTGGACTTAAAAGAAGGGTTTGTAGCAACTTCAGAATCGGCTGCCATGGCAGACGTATTTGTACAATTCAGAGAATTCCAGTGGGGAATTCCCTGAGGCTTGCCAGTGTATCCTCCCTGCTGCAAGGGTAGCGCAAGCGAGACGACGCAGGAGCTGAAGTTGTTGAGTCGGTGAACGTGCGTTAATTTCCCTCTCCTCTTCCAGGGCCGATTCACCATTGCCGCCAAGCATCACATATCGATAGCGGAGATCTATGAGACGGAGCTGGTGGATATAGAAAAGGTAAGTCCTGAGGACGCGGGGGGAAGGGAGGGAATCGGTCTGCCTTGTAGCTCTCTTATCTAGAAATAGGTTAAATGCAAACAGTCTCCTGTGATTGGCCTGACGTTGTTGCTGTGTCTGGGATGTGCAGCCTTGCGAGGACTGGAGTTTAATCCTGCGTTTGAATCCCGTTAGACACACTCATGGCTAATTAGAACACCCACTGTTAGAGTAACTTCTTGGTAATTAGGGAGATAAATCCTGCAGCAGGGCTGAAGCCAATTGCTAACTGATAGGGGAGAAACCTTTGTAGCAGGTTGTCATAGTTGTTCATTATGTTTTTTGCACCTTCCTCTGAAGCTGCTGGTACCAGTCAATGTCAGAAGCGAGAGATTGGGGGGTGGATGCCAATGGCTTGGTAGCCATGGGGTACGGGTCTTGCCTTGGGTGTCCATAAGTCCTGAGGTTAAACCCAGGTGGAACCCTGGCAACTGGTGATGCATTTTGAGGTCATATTAGTTGGTCCCAGCTGGCCTTAAAGCTGGATCTGGTTCAGGGCCAGGTTCTCTATTGCCCTGCACCTTGTGGTCACTCTCACCAGTGCAACAGGGGTGGAAAACACTAGCCCATCAGAATGGTAGCACTCCGTGCCTGTGTAAATGACTGCGCAAGTTGCAGGGCAGTGGAGAATTGGGTCCCGTAAGCCTCCCCTTGGGCAGGACACCATGTTTATAAACAGAAGCAAAACTAAACATTCACCAGCTGGAACGAATTGCAGGCGTTTGGAATGCGGACGCTGCAAAGAACTAGCAAAAAATCTGTGCAGACACTTGGCATGGCTTGTGTTGCAATTGATTAAAGGTTAACGCATTTAGCTCACGTGGGTGTCCGAGAGCCAGAGGGGCAGTCAACTCCAGCTGTATGCCCCTAGGATCACTCCTGTTTTTATAAGACAAAATGATTCACCAAATACTCTTCAGGAGAAATAACTTTCTTCCTCGTGAGGGAGAACGTCTGCTGCTGCCTCGGGGGTTCTGCAGGGCTGCCCACACACAAACTGGTGCTGTGTATATTAAACCCTTGTGAACAGCTACTTTGGTTTTTTTCAGGTTAGCTTAAACCTGTTTCACTTTGACGTAAGCGAAACCAAAATACCATCTCAGGTGGTAAGCAGGGGTTTTCCCGTGACTGGAGCCCCCTGCTCCACCCCCTTTTTATAGCTTTGGCACAAGGTGGGGATCTTTTGTCTGTGCTTGGCCCCCACCCCTCCTTCTAAATGGAAAAGTACAAGATTTAAGATGGATTTCAGTATCAGGTGACATGGTCACATGTCCCTGTGTGACCTCATTCTTCATTACCCCCAGCCCACACATACACAGGAAGGCTTGCAGGTAAATAAACCCATTCACAGTTCATTGATTCTGACGCACCCTTAATGGCTTCCACTGAATATGTTTACATCAGTAATACAAGTTTATATCTTATTTTTCTAACTCCAGATATAGAAATAATACGTGCAAACAAATAGGATGAACACACTCAGTAGATTACAAGCTTTCTAATGATACCATACAAGGGGTATTTAGTTTAAAGCATATTCCAGTTATGTCATATTCATAAGCATATTTCCATAAAGCATATGGAGTGCAACATCACAACCAGGTTGCGGGGGAGGGAGTGTCTTGTAAAATTCTACTTGGGAGCTGATGGGAGAAAAATCCATAGTGCTGGGGCTGTCACGGGGGCGGTGGGCTGTGGTCCCATGGCAATCTCACAGTACTGACCCGAGAAAGCTATAAACCAGCTTAATGTGTCTAATGGATCTAGGTCAGACAGGAGGAAGGATGGCCTTGTGGTTAAGGCACCGAACGGGGACTGGAGACACTTGGGATCAGTTCCTGCCTCCACCAAAATCTTCCTGCATGCCATGCCCAGAGTCTGTTAATCTTTGGGCCTCTGGTCCCCATTTTTGTGTGGGGGTGGGGTGGGGAGGGGTGATTGTGTAATCTCTCTCAGGCAGGGACTCTGTGTTCATGCAGTTCCTGTCTTAGCTGGGGCCGCTACTGCAGGAGTGCCTGATGGGGATGGAAGTTCTAGGCTCTAGTGAGGCTCCGGCCACAGGCTCTCTCTGTTAACCTGGACTCCGTTGCTGGTTGATGATCGACATCTCTCCGCTCAGGCCCTGCGTTCTTGGCGTTTGCCCCGTAGATGGCTGAGGGTGTGGGTGGGTTTCGTGTGTAGGGTTCTCTCGGCAGTTCGGGTGTGCGATGCTGTCCTCGGGAGGTGGTGGTGTGCTCTCTCAATTCTGCTAGTGCTGCCAGCGAACTGCCTGGGGAGCTCTCATGGTGTGTTGCGTTCTTTCTAGGCGATAGCCCATTATGAGCAAGCTGCTGATTACTACAAAGGGGAAGAATCCAACAGGTAAATCAACTGCTGCTTTGCCCGCTCTTGCTGTAGAACACGGTGGAGCAGTGTAACAGCCATGCATTAACCCCTGTGCTCTGCAGGCATATGGGTGGCCAAGCCAGCACCGCTCCCTTAAGGTGGTATTGTAACCGTACAATCCAGCCTAAATTAGGGGTAGCATGTAGCTATGCCAGCCCAGGAGTCACAATCCTCTCTTTCACTGGTGCAGCTTTCTAGCTCACGTGTGTGTGGGGGGAGGAGGGGTAGAGCTAAGGAGGGTGAGGAGCAGCCTGACTAGAGCTGCTGTCCCACTGCACAGGCACTTGCATTGCAGGTCGCTCACGTGGGAGTAAAAGTGGGTTCCTTGTGCCTCCTTGCTTCCCCTCTCTGGTGCACAGCTGGGTTTGCAGCTGAGCCCTTAGAAAGGACTTGACTGCGGTGATTGTTGCTATAAAGGGTATGATGTAGACACCGCTTGTTTCCCCCCAACTCTTTAGTGGCATGATGATACTGAGCAAACCCTTATGCACCTGGGCCCAGTGGCAGATCAACAGAATGCGCCTACAGGGGCTGCTTGATCCTGTGGGCTGAACCCTGCACCAGTTCACTGGTGTAGAAAGCTCTCCTTCGTAACAGTAACGAGGCCTGTGCTAGAGCAGGGACCCTGGGGGCTCCTGCTGCTGGGGGGCAAAAAAGCAAACTGCATTTGTATGGTTGGTTGAGTGTTTCTGAGGCAGTGCTGTCTTTCACTTCACGCTAAGCGCCCTTCCCTCGGAAAGGGAGCGCACTTCACGATCCTCGCAAATGGCCAGCGGGGAGCACAGCCTTTGGGACGCCGCCATCAGCCTGTTGCTTGCCATTTTTGTTTCTTTGCAGCTCTGCCAACAAATGTTTACTGAAAGTGGCCACTTACGCAGCTCAGCTGGAGCAGTACCAGAAAGCCGTCGAGATCTACGAGCAGGTCTGGGACTCTTAATTGTGTTTAAAGGGCAGGCGTGTTTGCGCACCTTGTGGTGCGTCTCCCTTCCTTCCCTTTTCCTGGGGAGATCCAAAATTCATGAGGCCGGGTCTGCGGAGATCTAATTGCAGGCCAGCCTTTGGATCCCGGCTGGCTTGGCCTGCCTGCAAAGCATTGGGGGGGTTCTTGTAGGGTGGATGGGAATAGCTATGGAAATGCCTCACTACGTTAAGGTGAGGAATGGTCCATTCTAAGCTCACGGCACCATCTTTAAGTGTTGCCCTATTGGGTGTGGCTGCAGACTGCCGTGGCAGGGCTGGGAGTCTTGGAGGCAGCGGGTGTGTATGGGAAGCTAGTGTAGAGGACAAGGATTCAGATGGGGTGTCCCCCCTGCGCCATGTACATCCTGGACAGGCACCCAAATATTCGTCCCTCAGTAGGAATCTGATCACTTTGGTGTGTTGCAGGTGGGTACGAATGCGATGGACAGTCCCCTGCTAAAGTACAGCGCCAAGGAGTATTTCTTCAAGGCAGCCCTCTGCCACTTCTGCATTGACATGCTCAACGCAAAGGTTGGTCTGGCGCTACAGAGCCGCCGCTGTGCTACCGAGCGGGGCGTGAGGCTGGGGGCCCAAGGGCCTGCTCCCAAACATGGGAAAACACCCCTCTCACCAGCACCTCGTTGGTCCATTTAAACGCCTCAAGCCAGGGTAGCCCATAGAGGGGCCCGCAATGAAGCTGGGGTGGGGAAGCTCTGTTGCTACTGGAGTGACCTTCTGTAAAAACCCCTCCAAGCCCTGTCCCAAGGAGCCTCCGGGCTAAGCAGCTAGTTCCCCTGCTCCCTTTGTGAGCAGTCACTCGAGCCGCAGGCAGGCTCTCACTCCTCTGTCTTTCCAGCTGGCCATACAGAAATACGAAGAGATGTTCCCAGCCTTCTCGGACTCCAGGGAGTGCAAACTGGTTAAAGTGAGTGACTCTTCCGTATTGGCCCTGCGCTGCCTGGTGGCTCAGACATTAGAATCGCGGGGGTCTCCCCCCTCCTCCCCCAATACAGATGCGGAGTATTGTGCCCTGGGAGGACCCATGTGAGAAGTGGCCGGATGGGGAAGCTTAAAATCAAACTCTCTGCAAATCTAGAGTGAAATGACTCCACCACTAACATTCACAGGGCTCTTCTAACGGTCTACGGCAGGGGTCCTTGACCTCTTTTCTTTGAGGCCCCCCCAGCATTCTGTAAAAACTCCACAGCCCACCTGTGCCACAACTGTTTTTCTGTATATAAAAGCCAGGGCCAGTGTTAGGGGGTAGCAAGCAGGCCAGTTGCCCAGGGCCCTGCAAAGCTAAGTTGCTCAGGCTTCGGCTTCAGCCCTGCATGGTGGGGCTTTGGCTTTCTGCCCTGGGCCCCAGTGAGTTTAATGCTAGCCCTGCTTGGCGGACTGTCTGAAACCTGTTCATGGCCCCCCAGGGGGCCCTGGACCCCTGGTTGAGAGCTGTTGGTCTGAAGAGCATGAAGTGCTCTTCTATTGGTCCAGTTGTTCAGAATCCCTAGCGCTCTGTTCCAGACCAAAATCCACTCCTGCCTTTAGCAAGATGAGGTGCCATCCTGCTCTTACCTGTGACCCCTGTGAGAAGCCAGTGTGCAGGAAGCCTGTTGAACTGCAGTGTTGCTAAGCAACAAGGAAGTAGGAGGGGACCCATCCCCCAGGTGGATTGTGAAAGGTCCCTGGACTCGTTCTCTTCCCCTGTGGGCTGGCTTTCCTGGAACTGGGACTTTTGCAGAGAGAGTGCTGGACTGGTGTGAACGGCTAGGCCAGCTCCTATCCTCCTGTGGACAGTGCTCGAAATCTGTTGCTTTAATAAACTATTGTTGTGCTGACAATAAAATGCCAGATCCAATCCTGATACGCAGGGCAACTGTTCAGTTGGAGCCGCCTGTCAGCCAGTTGGATTTTCCGGATAATAAGGCTGGCTTTAGCTACAGGGTCTCTGCTTGCACCTGTGACCTGGCATAAGCATCAGTCCAGATCTGTGCTGATCCTTATTCCTTTCTCCCCCTCACAGAAGCTGCTGGAAGCTCATGAAGAACAGAACATTGACAGCTACACCGACTCTGTAAGTGCAGCGGGGAGGGAAGCGTCTAATGCAGCTCCGCACCGGAGAGAGACTGGTGTGAAGTGGCTGCTTGGGGCGCCAGTGTAGCAGCTGCAAATGTGGGTGTGAGGCGTCCTTGTCAGAAACAAGCAGGCTCAGCGTGCCCGGTGTGATCGCTGTGCTAGCCAGTCCCAGGGTTGGTAGTGGATTGCTCACTACAGTGTGTTCTCAAGGACTTAATCCCATCTCGCTGTAAATTAGCAGGCCGCAGAGCTCCTGCCCCTTCCTTGGTACAGACTAATGGATCAGGCAGATATTCTGCCTAATTTCTCTGTAGGGCTGTTACTAATACTCACACTCACTCTCTTCCTTGTCCAGGCTCCTGTTATGTGTCAGCACAGGTTGCAGCTCCTATTGGCTCCATCAGGAGGCTTGGGACTGTGGCACTTCTGCAGATCAGCCCACAACCAGCTACATGTGGGTTTACTTTGCGGGAGGGGAGAAGGGGAAGTTTAAATGTTCAAAACACCGGTTGGGTGAAAAACATGGAACCTAGAAACATTAAGTAGAGGTCCTTGAAGTTAAGGACTAAGGAGAACATGGGGAAGAGAAGCTGGGTTTTACCTTGAGTGGATTTGTTTCTTGTAGGAAATTCCAGGCTCCAAAGTGTATCTACTGCAATGGCCTGTTTCCTACTGCATAGTGCTAACTAGCCTCCAGGTGAAGACAGCGCTGTGTGTCACTCATCTGATCATTCTCTCCCTGACCTTCCAGGTAAAGGAGTATGATTCCATCTCACGGCTGGACCAGTGGCTCACCACCATGCTCCTCCGTATCAAGAAAACCATCCAGGGCGAAGAGGAGGACCTGCGTTAAACCCCATCCCCCTCCTTCCCTGTCACCGTCAACTCTTTCCTCTGCAGAAGTCTGCATGGATATCTTTGGGGTGGGGAGGGTGGGGCCTGGAGGAGAAGGATTCAGACTTCAGTGACGTATTATCCCTTGTCTCCTAACCCTTTTGCCCCACAACCCAAAGAGCATAACTTTGTTTAGCAAAGACAGGGCGTGCGGCTGTAACCGCCTGACTCAGCTGCTCTAGAGATGATGTATTGGAGTGACACTATCTTGTTCCTCCTGGGCCAAACAGATGAGTTCCTGGTTCACGGAGCTTCCCAACCTGCCTGCGGGCTCCTGCCCAGGTGTGATGGTTAACACCCTTCCCCATCCCTCTTGCTCCCTCTTCAGATATTTAATTGTATAAAAATTACTAGATCTTAAACCTGCTTTAGCCCTGACTCGCTTCACGCTGGTTTCAGAAGACAGCACAAAATCAGTTTGCCTCCTAATTCCTGCTGTTTAGAACAGATCCTTTCTCACTGCCCCCTCTCCTGCCCCACACTGTTTGATGGGAGCAGGTCTTGCCCATCCCAGGCAGGGATTTCAGACTCAGTACCAGCAGGAGTGGGGGTGGGGAGAACTTCTTCCCCTCCCTAGCCTGTGATCAAATCCCTATAGGGGTTCAGAAGCCTGAGTTTTGAGTATCTCCAGCAAGCCCAGAGCCCTGCTTTAGGCTGGGAGATCACAGGTGCAGTGACTTCTCCCATGGCCTGAGCTGTGAGAACCGGTTCTGCTACTCTCCACCCTCTCCTAGCCCCAGAGAGCTGGGAAATGTGGCAAGCACACGCTGGCCCTTCCTATCTCCTGCTTATTTCAGTGAAGAACTGTACGACCCTTGTGTCTAACCTCTTGGCAGCAAAGACTTCCCAGGGCCCCCCCTCAATCCCCGGAGCTCTGCAAGGAGCTGACCGGAAGCGTCACTTCGCTCTGTATCACAATTATCTCCTCCTTTCCCGTTTCTCATTGTCAACTGCACATGCTAGCTTGAGAAATACACCCCATCCCTTCCCCCGCCCACAGGGCTGTAGTGCTGCTCTACGGCCCGCTATTAAGGGGCGTCAGACACTCTGTCATTCGCGTGCAGCCCAAAGAGGTGAGAGCTGGACTGGACCGTCATTCCCACGCCGCGTGGGTAGCCAAAAATATTAGTTTTGTGCTTCTGGTATATTAGTAACCTTAGCAAACCCTTCTGTGGTGACTGTTTAATTTAATCCCGTCTCAGATTCGGCAGTAGAAGACTCTACAGCGTGGGTGAATTCTGTATGCAGCAGGCCACGTGCTGTGGTGGGCATGGCAGCCAGTGGGAAGGGAATGTTACTCCCATTCAGTATTGTGTGCGTACAGTCGGTGTTGCCATAAAGGTTTTTATTTCTGGGTTATTCTCTGTTGATTTTGAAACCTAGCCCAAGAGGGGTGGGGCCAGGGCAGCTCAGGGTTTACCCTGCAGTAATCCCTACTTCTGTATTGTTTGTTGAAAGAAACAGGAAGTCTTGCTGCATGTTTTAATGTCAACAGAAAGCGACTCTTGCTGAGTGTAGTGAATAATTGCACAAGAAAAATAAAAACTTTGCATGAGCAGAAGCAGACTTTTCTAACTGTAACCCTGCAGCGAAATTCACGCTGCTTCACTAAGCGCATCTGTGGGCTTGCATGTTGGAGGTCTCCCATCCTCCCTGCACCACTTCCTCTCCCTCCTTGGAACTGAATTCTCCCATTACCTTGCAATCCCTTTAAATTGTGATTCTATTCTGAATGCTGACTATGGAGCTAACAAAAACCCCCACCTTCATTTGCCAAATCTGCCCCCTGTGTATTTAGGTGTCTGCTCAGTTCAGTCCTGCTAGCCCTACAGAGCACAGACTGACCTGGAATCTACCCCAGCTCTCAATGTGTCAACTGAAGTAATTAAATTCTAACTGCAGAATATTTCATTCCGCCTCATCAAGAAAATGTTTGAGAGGGTTCAGTGGGTAAGGCTGGAAATCAGCAAAACCACTTCTTTCCCTGTCAAATCCAGTGTTACAAACATTGACTCACTGTAGAATAGTTCTCATAGGTTTTTGTTTTTTTTTTTAAAGAGGATATTATTTTTCACCTTGGGCATGGAATCCTTGCAAAATCACCCGCTTAGCAGTCGAGCTGTCTGTCCATTCATCCATCGCCACATATGGTAGATACGAATTAATGAACAGCTCTGAGATTTACCTGTTTTCTAAGCTGATGCTTTTGTTGATCCAATGACTCCATGCTGCTCTCCTTGTGTTTATATTTTCTGTCCTTGGACCACATTCTGTTTTACTCTATTAAAGAGTTCCAGCTGTTCATTAACAAGCCTGTCTCTTCAGAAGCTAGAGCCAGGGTCCCTCACTTGTCGGTTTGGTTCATTACGCTGTGGAAGCAGCTGCAACGATTGGTCAAGTCTGGACATAAACAAGCCCAAGCTGTCAGCTGGAGTAAACTGGTATGGCTCCAGGGTCGCTGCCTGAGAACTGGCCGTGCTGAAGCCACGTTTAACAGGCCCAAGAAATCCTGGGTGTAGAATGGGACTCTTCCTCCTCCTCCTCAAGCCCCAGTTACAGTGATCAAACAGCAGCTATTTCTGCCTCTTTCTGTTCTGTGGAGGTGGGTAAATGTGCTGCAAGGCTGGAGGGTCCCTATCTTCAAACGAGGCTTAGTCATGACAAAATCCAGCTCTGCTGCTAAAACATGGAAAAAGCTGCTCCTAATTCTTATGAAACGTTACCAGGCAGAATCTATGAGCAGATACAAGGGCAAGACTTTAGCATAGAAATCTCTGCTTGTGTAACAGCTGTGTTGAACCTTCAGCCAGGCCGGGCCATCCCTTGCCCTTCAACCCGTCCCCACTGCTGAGGAAAAAGTGAGCTACGCTAGCGCTTGCGCTTTGTCACGTAGAAGTTTAGACCCTTTTGAGTTTATTCCGAGTGGAGAATGCCTGTTCGTGCAAAGGCTGCACATCGCTTCTCGCCTGCTGCAGTGCGATGGCATGGCACCAGCAGGGAAACTGAAGCAAGAGGGGGGGACCTGTTCCCTTTATGTCGGTTGAGAGTTTGTCCTGAATACTCCCCCCTCTTCCTGTCCTGGGGAAGGGGGGCTGGGGGGTGTCTGTCCTGAGCACTCCCTTGTCTGGGGGGGGAAAGGGGGGAGTGATTACCCTTGACCTTGCCTTGGAGGTGTGTTTTGGGGACTGTTTTGAGTGCCCCTCCCAAGGTCATGCCCCATAGAGGGAGGCTGCCCTGATACTCTTTGGGGGGAGGAAGGGTTGCCCTGAGTGCCCCTAGCCCTGCCCCTTGTGTGGGGGCAATGCCCTTCATGTCCTTTCCCCCCCTCATGAGTATGGAACTATGCTGTGCCCTGCCCCAAGGACTGTGGGGGGCAGCCCCTGCCCCATGGAAAGGGTCACTACTCTGTCTGCATACGGGATGGGGATTACTGTGAGTGCCCCTTCCCCCTATGTGTGGGGCGTCTGTGTGTGTGAGAGAGACTGAGACTGCCCTGAGTCCTCCCTGCCCCATGGAGGGGCTGTCCCAGCTGACCCGTCCATCCCCTGCCCTATGAGGGGGGGGGGCTGCCCTAGGTGCCCCTCCTGCCCCAGAGAGGGGGCGTGGCTACCCTCCCCGCTGCCCCATGCAGGGGGCTGGCCCAGACCCCGCCTCCTTGGGAGCTGTTGCTCACAGACGCCCCCTCCACTGCGAGAGGGGACAGGGCGCCTCCCCGTGGGCGCCATTTTGGATCAGGGCAAGTTGCCCTGCCCGGCCTGGTGACGTCACCCGCCGCGACGCTGGCGCCGGCTGCTGCGCGAGGACCGGCCCCCCGCCCCCCCGGCCGAGGTGCCCCCGCGAGCGCCTGCCCGGCCGGCCGGCGAGGACCCCGCCGCGAGGTGTCCGCGGAGCTGCCTGACCCGGGAGTGAGGGTGGCGAAGGGAGCTTGGGGCGGCCGGGTTCCGTCCCGTGACGTGACCTCGCCGTAGCGGCGCCTGGTCCATGCCCGAGGCCGAGGCCGCGCGGCCGCCCGTCATGGAGCCGCCTCCGCCCCCGGGGGGGCGCCGGGGCTGCCCGTTGCTGGAGGACAGCTTCACCCGCCTGGCCTCCCAGAGCAACGTCTACGGGCTGGCGGCGCTGGCCGGGGGCGGCCCGGGCCGGGGGGCGGGGCAGGGTGTTGGGGGGGCCCCAGAAGGGGAGGGGGGGCAGGGTGGTGGGGGGGCCCCAGAGGGGGGGGCGGGCAGGGGGGCTGAGGGGGGCCCAGAAGGGGAGGGGGGGCCGGAGGCAGGGGGGGGGCCGGGGCAGGG